TCAATATAAAACGTGGAAGGTTTCGTTGACGCTGACTTTGACCTAGTTTACATCTCATTCTCTCCCTTCCTTCAATTGATCGCAGAACATTTCAACTTCCGATGGTGGTGAAACCTTAGAAAGACGAGTTTCAAACTGTGTTTTCTGATTTGTACTCTCAAACCCTAGAGATTCAGGCTCAGACGGCGCGAGGTCAATTCCCCCCCCCCACCACACTTCACGTTTGTTTAAGTAAATGCTGTCGTCCCCAGGGTGAGTTACCCAATATTCTGATTAAAATCGCGCTGTACAGTTGCCGTTCTTGACCGTGGCTCGTCCAAACCAGACTTCAGACTTCAACTCTCAAATTATTTGCAAAGTAACTAAACAAAACCACATATCGTGTAACTCTTAAAATAGTATTTCTAGGCCGCCTGAATCTTCATTATTGCATTTTATTTTTCCCAAGGGAAACTGCAAAATTGAATATCCTCCATTTGTTAAATATCCTCGTAACAACTCCTGCTTAGCGTTTCACAATTTTCACACGTGGCGGCCGTCAATGGTTGCTGCCTTTTGGAAAAACCCATCTTTGGGGGAAATGATTGTATACTTGTACACAGTAAGAAACATCAAAATAAAGCTGAGATATTAAGTTATTGAAATCCGAAGACTATATTGAAATAAATCTCCAAATTTTAATGCTATTTTAATTAAAAAGATCAAACATTATTTCACCAGAATTTAAGTTAATATTTTTGTTTCGAGGAAACTGTTGATTCCATAATACGTTGTTGGATTTTTTTTCTTGTTCTGCGTTTTATGAATTTTTTTTTTTGTTGTTTTTTTTTGTTGTTTTTTTTTTTTTTTTTTTATTTTTTTTTTTTTTTTTTTTTTTTTGATTTTCTTCATTTAAAATGGGGGGGGGGGGTGTGGATGGGGGTAATTTTGGGGTGGTAACGTCGGCTTACACGAATATCCATCCATCCATCCCTGTGGCGTTACTGCCCATGTAGACCTTTGGCCTGCTTACCTCTTCTTTCTCCTCAGACAACCCATCCCTGTGGCGCTACAGTCCATGTAGAACAGTGGCCTGCCTCACATCTTCCTTCCACTCAGACCATTCATCCCTGTGGTGCTACAGCCCATGTGAGGCTTTGGCCTGTCTCAAAACTTCCTTCCATTCAGACCATCCATCTCTGTGGCGCTACAGCCCATGTAGAGCTTTGGCCTGCCTCACCACTTTATTCTACTCAGAACATCATTCCCTGGTGGCGCTACAGCCCATGTAGAGCTTTGGCCTGCTTACCTCTTCTTTCTCCTCAGACAACCCATCCCTGTGGCGCTACAGTCCCTGTAGAGCTGTGGCCTGCCTCACATCTTCCTACCACTCCGACCATTCATCCCTGTGGTGCTACAGCCCATGTGAGGCTTTGGCCTGTCTCACCACTTCCTTCCACTCAGACCATCCATCCCTGTGGCGCTACAGCCCATGTAGAGCTTTGGTCTGCCTCACATCTTCCTTCCATTCAGACCAAACTAATGCTTTTTTCATGCTGGGACTCCCAGCTGTTCTTGATCTTTTCCCACATCATCCGTCCATCTAAGCCTAAGTCTGGCTTTGAGACGTTTATCTCTGGGGTAGTAACGTCGGCTGACGGGACTATATTTTGAGATAATGGTTAAAAAAGATCCCCGATCTCTTCCCTCAAATGATCTTTCGATGGGCTCAGGTGTGGGCTCAGGCGTGGGCTCAGGTGTGGGTTCAGGTGTGGGCTCAGGTGTGGGCTCAGGTGTGGACTCAAGTTTGGGCTCAGGTTTGAGCTCATGTGTGGGCACAGGTTTGGACTCAGGTTTAGGCTCAGGTGTGGGCTCAGGTTTGGGCTCAGGTTTGGGCTCAGGTGTGGGCTCAGGTGTGGGCTCAGGTGTGGCCTCAAGTTTGGGCTCAGGTGTGAGCACAGGTTTGGGCTCAGGTTTAGGCTCAGGTGTAGGCTCTGGTGTGGGCTCAGGTGTGGGCACAGGTTGGGCTCAGGTGTGGGCTCAGCTGTGGGCTCAGGTGTGGGCTCAGGTATGGGCTCAGGTGTGGGCTCAGGTTTGGGCTAGGTGTGGGCTCAGGTGTGGACTCAGGTGTGGGCTCAGGTGGAGCTCAGGTTTGGGCAAGGTGTGGGCTAGGTTTCGGGCTCAGGTGAAGGCGCAGGTGGAGGGCTCAGGTGTGGGCGCAGGTGTGGGCTTAGCTGTAAGCTTAGTTGTTAGCTTAGCTGTAAGATTAGCTGTCGGATTAGCTTTTGGCCTAGTTGTTTGCTTAGCTATGAGATTAGCTGTGAGATTAGCTGTGGGCTGAGATGTGGGCTTATCTGTGGGCTCTAGCTGTTGGATAGGCTGTGGGATAAGCTATGGTCTGTTGTAAATTTTGTTTTAACTTTATAGTCTTACACAGCTTAGTTTTAGTACAAATAATCTATACATAATCTTTTCAACCCCTGGGGTTTTTAATTTTTTCAAACATATCAACAAATGCATTTAATTTAGATCTAAATTTTTTAAATGATAAAAATCGGGCTCGTGAGACTTTTTTCTTATGTGTGTGCTCACCCTAATGCTAAAAATCCAGCTACGCCACCGTCTTTATGGTATTTCTAGCAGTCTACGACCACAGTGTTACCCAAAATTGTACCTTTGCCTTCACTATTCATTTTTATTTATTTGAATAAAACTACTTGTTAAATAAAAAAAAAAAAGCTTCTCTTTCCTTGCTTCCCCGTCTAAAAAAAAAAGAGAGCAAATCTAGGCAAATGACTATCCCCAATTTCGAGTGCTACGATTCCTGCTGTTATCAGCTGACTGTCTCGGTCCTGGGCAGACAATCAAGACTATCCGATCAGATACCATTCAGTGAGATACCGGTGAGACAGATACCGGCGAGTCAGATACCGGCTGCTTAAAATAGTGATGGGAAAAATAAGTCCAACAGCTTCCTATTGTTTTCCCACCACCTTGTATCGAACAACTTCCACAAACTTGCATCTGACGATTTCCCACCACCTTGTATCTGACAATTTACCGCCACCTTGAATCTAAAAAATTCACACCACAATGTATCTGACAATTTCACACCACCTTGTATCTAAAAAGTTCCCACCACCATGTATCTGACTATTTCCCACCACCTTGTATCTAACAATTTCCCAACACCGTGTATCTAACACTTTCCCACCACCTTTGTATCTAAAAAGTTCCCACCACATTGTATCTAACAATTTCCCAACACCTTGTATCTGACAATGTCCCACCACCATGTATCTGACTATTTCCCACCACCTTGTATCTAACAATTTCCCAACACCGTGTATCTAACACTTTCCCACCACCTTTGTATCTAAAAAGTTCCCAACACCTTGTATCTGACAATTTCCCACCACCTTGTATCTAACAATTTCCCACCACCTTTTATCTAACAATTTCCAACCAACCTGTATCTAACAATTTCCCAACACCTTGTATCTGACAATGTCCCACCACCATGTATCTGAAAATTTTCCACCACCTTGTATCTAACAATTTCCCACCATCTTTTATCTAACAATTTCCAACCACCTTGTATCTAACAATTTCCCACCACCTTGTATCTGACAATGTCCCACCACCTTGTATCTAACAATTTCCCACCACCTTTTATCTAACAATTTCCAACCACCTTGTATCTAACAATTTCCCACCACCTTGTATCTGACAATGTCCCACCACCTTGTATCTAACAATTTCCCGCCACCTTCTATCTAACAATGTCCTGTCCACCCATACATGGGGGTTCCCCGGTGCTGGACGATAGATTCCTTAAAGCACCAATCTTTTTAACGCCTGGAAACAAGTGAGACTCTTGGAGATATGCGGACGTACTCCAGACGACCTTGAACTCTAAGAAATTCATTATCTTAATACTGATTTTTTTTTTTATTTATTACTTGCGGTTTTCATTTTTTTTTTAAATCATAAACAGTGCAATGCATTATCCTATGGAATCCAGTTTTATCTCTCAATCATAAAACTGAATCGTTCAGAAATGTTGTTTTTTTAATTAAAAATTTTTAAAGCGATTGCTGCCGGCCTAAACTCAAACACGGGTTTGTTGATTTAGTTTGTATTTTATTTTTGTTCAAAATTGTTTTTTTCTAAATTAATTAGGGTTACCGGGCATTTCTGTTGAATTAATCAGGGTACCCGGTTGCTTTACTTAAAGCATGATATTATATTGTCGTGAAAATGTATTAAGCTGGAATTGGACTCTAGGCTATTGCTTAACTGTGTTAATAACTTGAATGCTTTTAAAACTACAAACTTTTTAAGTCTTACGCTGGAGTGAGGGAGTGGAATTTAGACCCTGGAGCTTTGGGTATAGCATGTCCTGAATAGATTGATGTTGAGCTAAACGCATTTAGTAGCCCCGGCTCTATCAAAAGTCAACATGGTTTATTAATGTTATGACCTCTCAATAACTGCAGCGATAAAGTTTCTTTAGCAGTACATATTGGTATTCTATTAGAATTTTTAAGGCATCCATAAGAACTCACTTCGTAAAGTTTCTATTTTAATGATTTCAATTCTTTATTCCATAAACATTTCCCGTTTCAAGTCACACGTAAACGTAAAAATTAGTTCAATTATTTAGTCAAATTTCTGTCTTCTTTAAATTGATGGCATTAACTACAGAAGTTCGCTTTAATTTCTGGTTTTAACTACATGAGTCTACTTAACTAAAAACGTCCACTATAATTGCTGGTATTTACTACACGCGTCCACTATAATTTCTGGTATTAACTACATACGTCCACTTTAATTGCTGGTATTAAGTACATACGTCCACTTTAATTGCTGGTATTAACTACATACGTCCACTTTAATTGCTGGTATTAAGTACATACGTCCACTTTAATTGCTGGTATTAAGTACATACGTCCACTTTAATTGCTGGTATTAACTACATACGTCCACTTTAATTGCTGGTATTAAGTACATACGTCCACTTTACTTGCTTGCATTAACCACATGCGTCCACTTTACTTGCTGGTATTCATTCCGGAGCTGAGCGGATTCACAAAGCTGCACTCCGTTTTCCTCTGCCCCTGACTTCCGCCCACAGCCTCAGAATAAGACGGCGGGCCAGCAGACACCGGCGTCATGTACGCAACCCTGGCGCGCACATCTCTCGAGCGCACGACCCTGGCGTTTCTGTTCACATTCTTTCTGACCACAGCCGCTATGATGGCCACGATCACAAAAAATAAGACCACCCCGCAGAACACGGCCAGCGCCACATATAAACCCAAGTTATCGCCAAACCAGCTGAAGTCGTCGTCATCGTCATCGGAAATGTCGGAGGTCTTCGCCGTGCAGAACAGCTCATCGGAACCATCGCCGCAGTTATCGAGGTCGTCGCAGACCATAGACTGAAGGACGCATTTGCCATTGGAGCACCTGAATTGTGTGCAGGCAAGCTCTGGGTAGCACACGCTGAAGTATTCATCGGCCCCATTTAAACAATCGGTTCTATCGTCGCATTTGTACATTTTTTCGATGCACATGCCATCACCGCAATGGAAGGGGTCGTCCCAAGGACGCGACCAACATTTTTTGGGGCGGTTAGGCGTACATTCGGCCAAAACTTCGTCCGAGAGGTCGCCGCAGTCATCGACACCATCGCATGTTCTGTTCATGGGGACGCACGTGCCGGTGCGGCACACGAAACTTGAACAGTCGCACACCGGGGTGCCGAAAATATCAGTCTTCATTTCATCGCTGCCGTCCTTGCAATCGATGAAGTTGTCGCACCTGTCTGAGGCTATGCGACAGTTGGTGTCGTTGTCACACAGAAACTCCGAATGTCTGGTGCAGAACCTCTCCACGTTATTTTCAACAGGTGTCGTCCTCCTTCCCCAACATTCAGCCCCAGCGGAGGTGATTTCCTGCGCCCAGATGCATTTTCCCGTCGGACACGGGAAATCTGAGCAGCTGCAGTTCGTTCCGGTCCAGGCCCATTCGTCACTTCCATCCAAACAATCCAATGTGTTGTCACACACAGATGAAAGGGGGACGTACAAACTGCCATCAGCACACATGAGGCCACACTTTTGTTCGTCTTTACCATCAGCGCAGTCGTCTATACCGTCACACACCTGTGAGACGTGAATGCATTTTGTGATGTTGTCACAGCTGATGTCAAATAATGGACATGAGTCCTCGTCCGATAATAATTGACAGATCATGGAAGTTTCATCTGAGCCTTCGGGGCAGTCCCTGAGTCCGTCACATAGTTTGGTGACGTTGATCTCCGATTTATCTTGGCAGACATAGAATCCACGGCCACTAGCTGTCGTCGAGATTGTATTATTAACCTCTGCCGTTTGGTTATCTTTACTTACTGAGGCCATAGTGGTCTCGCTTGGATGTACAGTTGTAACGGCACCCCGTCCAGTGGTTCCATCATGATGACCAGTTGTGAACGGACCTCGTCCAGTGGTTCCATCATGATGCCCAGTTGTGAAGGGTCCTCGTCCAGCGGTTCCATCATGATGCCCAGTTGTAAAGGGCCCTCGTCCAGTGGTTCCATCATGATGCCCAGTTGTAAAGGGACCTCGTCCAGTGGTTCCACCATGATGCCCAGTTGTAAAGGGCCCTCGTCCAGTTGTTCCATCTTGATGTCCAGTTGTAAAGGGTCCTCGTCCAGTGGTTCCATCATGATGTCCAGTTGTGAAGGGCCCTCGTCCAGTTGTTCCACCATGATGCCCAGTTGTAAAGGGTCCTCGTCCAGTGGTTCCATCATGATGCCCAGTTGTAAAGGGTCCTCGTCCAGTGGTTCCATCATGATGCCTAGTTGTAAAGGGTCCTCGTCCAGTGGTTCCATCATGATGCCCAGTTGTAAAGGGCCCTCGTCCAGTTGTTCCATCATGATGCCCAGTTGTAAAGGGTCCTCGTCCAGTGGTTCCATCATGATGCCCAGTTGTAAAGGGTCCTCGTCCAGTGGTTCCATCATGATGCCCAGTTGTAAAGGGTCCTCGTCCAGTGGTTCCATCATGATGCCCAGTTGTAAAGGGCCCTCGTCCAGTGGTTCCACCATGATGCCCAGTTGTAAAGGGTCCTCGTCCAGTGGTTCCACCATGAGGCTCAGTTGTATATGGACCTCGTTCAGGTGTCATCCCAATGTCACCTGTTCCAACAGTTCCCAGCTGCTGCATTGTCTTCAGGTTTGTGTTGCTGACATCGGGTGGGCCGGGTAAGCCGTGTTTAAATGAAGACATCCCCGCTGGGGTTGACACTGGTGTTTTTTTCGTGCTCTGGACGGGTCGTGTTTTGTAAAGGCCAAGTTTCGGCTGGACTGACGCTTTTGCCAGCCATCGTCTGTTTGAGCCACGGGCTGAAGCTCCGGGTGTCGCCGAGACCATGTCCGGGTATGCCAGCATCAAGAAGCTCGCTACGGTCAGCGCGACAACGAGCTGACCAGCCATTCTTGCCGACAGATTCTCCGGTATACTGTTATTGAAATGGAATATAACAAACGTCAATTAGTAGAATTCATTAGGGAATTGTTCTTTGGTAACAGCTATCCTAAATAACATGGGTCAGCAACGTGCGGCAAGCGTGCCTGACTTCGCACGCTAAGCGCTTTTCACTAGCACGCGGAAGGCGATTGAAGCCTTAAAACTGGCTTTAAGAATTCATCTCATGTGGTAGATTTAAAGCTTGTTAGCAGCACACCGAATGAATGCCGAATTCTACTTTTACACAGTTTAGCCAATGGTTTGACGAGCCCTGATTTTCAAGTTTCGCTTCTGTCATCCCAACGAATTCTAAACTTAAGTATATTCGTCAGTTATATTATATTTAAGGCTTGTGGGTACGCTAAATTCATTAGAAATTCTCCCTGGGGCACAATTTAACCAAAGGTTTTCGGAACCTATCTTTATAATACGCCCCTAGCATCTACCTTATTTCGCCCTAGTATTGCCCTAGCATCGCCCTAATATCGCCCTAGCGTTGCCCTTGCTTCACCGTAGCGTCGCCCTAACATCGCCCTAGCATTGCCTTGGCGTCGCGTAGCGTCGGACGCTCCTTCTATCAACAAATGATGGTGGTGGGTACAATTGAAAGGAATTTTACTGTTTTCAACACGCGTAGAGGATCAATTATAAATGTAATTCCGTGGAAGTAGGGGGCCGACATATCGCGGGGGGGAAGGGGGGGGTGCAAAGTTCAAAACGATTCTACCCTCGATGCTGTGTTTATGCCATGGACTGTATACGATTAGTGGAAATAAAAGTAGACTTTAACACGCAAAAGTTGTCGGGGGGGGGATGCGGGAGGGCTGAAGGGCTGAATGGGGGGGGGGGGGCTGGGGGGGTTTTGTTTTAACCAAGGAGTGTTCGAAAAACCAATGAAATAAATATGACAACATTAAATCACAATTTCAATCCCTCAAAAGTAATTAAAAGAAATATACAAGACAATGTTAAAATACTTTTTGCACTTTGAATACCTTTTCCGATTTCCCATTCTAATGATCACCTTTATTTAGTGACACCTGAGCTTGTCGTCATTGAACAATTCATCCTTTTGATTTTTGATTGATTCCCAGATCTAACTTCACCTGAGGCGACCTCTTTTCCAAACTATTTGAAATTAGCATCATTCGTTTCCATTGTTAGATGCAATGACAAATCTTTTCTATTTCTACATCAAAAATTTTCGCCTACGCTGATAGTCCCCCTTGAAACGCATGTCTCTTTAAGTGGCCTTCATAAGTTCAAATTAAACTTTTCCTCCCCCCCCCCCGCCCCCACCCCTTTAAAAAAAAAATGTTTTGGGTGTACATCTTTTGCAAGCACTTTTAAGCCACTTAGCGATGATGGCTCCAGTTCTTAAGAAATCCTTGCCACATGCTTCCTATAACTCTCCCCTGAAAAACTGATGGTGGGAGGGGGAGGGGGGCAATCAAAAGTTAATGCGATCATGTGGTCGTTGGGGTGGGTATCGGGGGTAAAAATTTGACAAAACATCAATTAAAATAACGCACTTTATAAGATTCACAATTAGTCCGTCGTCCCCCCCCCCCAAACTCCCAAAAGCCTCGCAACCCTATATTTTTTTCCCACGCCCCTGAACCAGTTTAATATTCTTATTTCCCCACCCCCTTTCACACCACAGATTAATTACACCAACTAGTTCCATAAAACAAAAGAAAATGTTAAGCATCAAGGACACTTGCGATATTTTTAAGAATCTCATTTAGCGCAGTGATCTGGAATTTTATTTCGTGAAATCAGTGGCATCTGGAAGCGAAAACGGAGGACAGGTCCATGCCCAGGGAAACGTGGCATCTGGAAGCGTTAAAAACTGTTGTTGTTTTTTTTGCGGGTTAGGGTCGAGGGTTCTGGCTGAAAATTTAAAACAATGTGTTATCGTCGGAAACCAGTCTATGGGCTGGGCCAAGTTTCAGCACAATAAAGTGACAGGAAGTGGGTCAATTGGTCGTCCGAAGATTTTTGCCTTAAACACAGAAACGTACGAAACAAAAGCGAAGTTAATATAAAAGTTGTTTTTTTTAGAAGGATTGTTCTTCACTCAAAATTATCATCGCTTACCTTGACAAGATAACTTTCTGTTGTTGTGGATGTATGTTAACTCTACTAAATCAGTGTGAGGAATGCGATGTCGGATATGATCCACGGATACTCTGGACCAGGGCCTGGGTACGACCTGATAGCGTCTCGTCTCACTCTGGTAGGCGTTGCTTTCTGTAGCGTACAGCGGACGTCACCTGTAATCACTTCTGACTTATTGTTTCAACGATAACTTTGTTCGATCACGTCAACACACGGAGCAAATTGGTTTGTGTTGATATCAGTAAGCAAGATAGACCACTCTCGTGATGTCAGGTCAGAGGTAGTTGTTGGTTTATTTTTAACTACTCTGTAATTTAAAAAAAATTAGCATTTCCTTATTTATAGCTGCGTTGTTACAGCATAACCTTGCCATAAATGTAGGTGAATAATCAGATAGGTTTGGCCACAGGAACACGTACGCTTGTACCATATAGAACCTTACAGACACATACAAACTAGAGAAAGTAGTTGAACTGGACACATCACTGATAGCGGTGTCTTACGGAAATCTTCGTGCAATTCCTTGGTAAAAGACTACTATTTTTTAGGTTACATGCGAAATTATTAAAGTTCATGTTGTTTCGCAAAAGGTATAAAACTAGTTTAAGATGTGAGAGACGCCCACCACGTATAATACAGTAGCACCCACAGATTTTTTTAATGCCCTCCACATGGGGGTCGGCAAACTCATTAATCAAAAGAGCCAAAAATGAACAGCAGGACGATTTTTAAAAAAAAATTTTGAGAGGCAAATTTCTTTTCAAGAACCATGTTTTGCGGAGTCAAAACCGCTTTGAAGCTGAATCGCCGAGCCGCACTCAGGTCGCTAAAGAACCGCATGCGGCTCGCAAGCTGCTATTTGCTGACCTCTAACATACACCAACCCTTGTCATTTACCCACACCTACACTTTTCTTTGTACCATACCTAAACTACTAATCATTTTAAGCGACTACTGTAAAAGCCCCCCACCCCCTTAACCCCCACATCTTAACTATCATCAGCTCCAACCATAAAAAAAGACCTGTTCCCATGTCCCAACTTATGTGAGAACCACTCTTTCAAACTGTTTAAAGCCTCAATACATAAATACTCCCACATGTACCCTACACACACCTCCAAACGTACTCCACTTACACCTTTCACATACCCCACACATACTCCAAACACATACCACACCTACACCCACACACGTACACCCCCACACGTACACCCCCACACGTACACCCCCACACGTACTCCCAAAAGCATGACTTACCCATATGGGGACAGACAGCAGACACATTACTCACACTCTGTGCACACGTGCCCTATGAGAAAATGGCGCATGGATACACCGTGGTTGAGATGAATTGTGGGATCGTTAAGAATAGTTCCAATCTTCTAGAAAGTTCTCATCTGACAATGACCCCAGTGTGTGTGAAGCTTGCCGAGTTGACTATTAAAATAACTGGTCAGTTCTAATTTGTTACTTAAGGTGATAGTTTTGTTGTCGTCTAGGTTTAATTAAGGTATAATGATACTTGCAGCAATCATTTTAAAATTAATTATTTATTATTGAACCTGACATTTTGATCTGATTGCATACATTTTTTTTAAAAAATATTTCATATTAACTTCTCTTTTGTTCGTGGGTGGCAGGCTGGCAAACTCTTCGGACGGCTAATTGACCCACTTCCCGTCAACCTATCGAGCTGAAACTTGGCACATAGACTCGTTTCCAACGACAACAATTTTTTTTTCAAATTTCAGCCCTACCTATCAACCCCAACCGCCCACGATAAGTTTTCCCTGATGCTCAAGCGGATCATGAAGGAAAATTCCGATAACTGCGCTAAATAAGATTCTTTAAAATATAAAGAAATATCGCGCAGGCGTTCGGTGCGAATAATTTTATTTTATTTTTTTTCTGAAAAAAATGTTCAAATAAATCTGCGGTTTAAAAGTGGGTGGGTCGTTAGAATATTAATATAGCGCAGAGGCTTGAAAAAAAATGTGCACTTGCGACCCTTGTAGGAAAAAGAGTAGGGGTCACTAATTGGTATCCTTAAGAGGTGCGTTACTTGAATGAATGTTTGATCAAATTTTCAGGTCCCTCCCCCTTGCCCCATCTTACATTTTATAATGGGGAAAAAAAAATTTTTGGGGGTTTGTTTAGTTAAAAATTTGTTAATGCACGTAATCTTTGCTATTGAAACACTGACACAAGAATCCATGTGTTGTGGATTTTACTCCAAGTCCTTGATAAACCTTTCGACAACTTATCTTTGCGTTTTACACCTATTCTGCCTTTTTCTTAAAACTACCCCCTTCCACTTATCCACCGACCAATCCATAGACCCTCGTGAAGCCTCATGCCCTGGGTATAATCGAAGTCCCAAATATTTGAACCATTAAGAACCCTTGCTGTAGAAGTGCTATCTTCTCGTCTTTATCCTGGTACCACTTTTTTTTTTTGGGGCAATGGATTAAAACTGATTTGTTCACTCTTAGTCATGTTCAGAATGAGGAGGCCGACAAAAAGGGGGGGGGGGAGGGGGCTGTATGGAGTCCGGGTGTGAGGTTGGGGTGAGGGGAAGTGTGGGATCGAGGAACGAAACTTTGAAGACTGTAAGGACTCCTCGAACTTCACGAGAACCAATAATAAATTCCAACGTTAACTAATGAATTGAACTATGATGGCCTAATGACATCATATTGAGTAATACTAACAACGCAATAAATAACCTTTCCATATTCTCAACACCAAATTTTCTACAAGAATTATGAATATTTAAATATTTGAGAATTTGGGTTATTTATTAAATCTTTTATATTAACTTCGCCTTTAATCATATGTTGTTGTTTTTTAAGGCAAAAACTTCGGACGCCTAAATACCCACTTACCGTCATTCCATTGAGCTGAAACTTGGTGTATAGACTCTTTGCCGATGACAACACATTTTATTGTATTTTTAACACCCACCCACAAAAATAAGTGTGTTTTTATGTGTTTTAAAGAGTGGGTGGGGGGAATGTTAATGCTGTCTTAATGGGTGCGTCTTTTAGTGTGCTGATTAATTGTGCAGCTATAGCTATGTGTTTTGTATTGGTGACATATTTGGGTATGCAGTAAAAATAAAAAATAAAATTATTGAGGGTGAAATGAAGGAACTATGGATCGTGTTTTCGTCAGAAGTTTAAATAAACTATTTTTAATAAATGATAAATCACTTACAATTAAATAAATGCAAACAAAATAGATATAAAGGATTTATACAAACAAATTGTTGAGGGTTTTTTTTATTAAATCCTTTATATCAGCCTCACTTTTGTTCGTGTACTGTGTGTTTTTGGCAAAATGTTCGGAAGGCTAAATTTGCCATTTCCCGTCGTCATATCGAGCTGAAACTTGGAACATAGACTTTTTGCCAATGACAACACGTTCTTTCAAATTTTAAGCCCCACCTCGACTTTTAACAGTAAATATAAGTTTTTATTTTTTTTTTTTTTTTCAAGGGGTAGAAGAGTCAAATATGATTTGTTCAGTTTGTGCGTGTTTTGGTGTGAAATTAATTGTGTAGCGATTGCTAGTCGATCTGAATTTTTAACGTATTAAAGCGTAAATATATCTTAATTCTAATAGGTTTTATATGTACTAAGTTTGATTAAAAAAAACATCCCCATATCAAAAATCAGTTGCTACAATCTCAAAAATGATAAATCACGTATATTTAGATAAATGCTAACAAAATTTCATCCAATGGATTTATATGGGGGGGGGGGGGAATTGTTATTAAGGGTTATTTCATTTAAACAGGTTTATTATTAGATTTGTCAACATTTTTTACGGGTTTACTTTTTAGAATTGTCCATATTTAAGTAAATTTGAGAACCTCGACAGTCTAAAAATGGAGGTTGGTTCTGTACTAAAGAAAGTTAAACTAGTTTGTTTTGTTGTTGTTTTCTTTAATAATTCATTTAACTCTTACACACATACAACTTAATAATCCCTGTATTACAGGTGTGGCTTTTACAAGTTTACTATTGGGCCAGAGACGTAGCTAGAGTATTTGGCGCCCGAGGACAAGATTCATTTAAAAGCGCCCCCTTTCCTTTTTTTTATCTCACAAACACATTATTTTCATCAATAAAATAATATCAAAGCACATTTTGGTGCTGCTAACGAGCTAAGTTGTGCCCGGGGACATCTGTCCCCCATCTGCCCCCCCCTTCGCTACGCCTGTGTGTTGGGAAGCCTAAGTTAAAAATGGGTCCACGCAATGACTCGTGGTGAATGAATTGCCCAGCTATTAGTTATGTAACTAACAGTCTGAACTTCAATCCACATAAGAGTAAGACTGGTAACTAAAATGATTAATGGTCACATTTTCTCTCTCTCTCTGTATAATGTGTTGGTCACATCTTGTCGTTCCCTCTATGGAACATTGTTTTATGTGTTGGTCGCATCTTGCCGTTCCCCCTAGGGAACATTGTATTATGTGCTGGTCCCGTCTTGTCATTCCCTCTAGGGAAAAAGTGTGTTATGTGCTGGTCACATCTTGCCATTCCTTCTTGGGAACCCTGGGGAAATTTGTTTTGTTGTAATCCTCACAGTCATCCCACGGAGTTCGATTTGTCGAAAATTAATTCTAATTTATTGAAAATTTGCTCGAAAATATAGAGTGATCTTAAATTGTAAATAAGGTTTACCTCATACTAGAATTTTGTTCTCCCCTCCCCCCAACCCTTTTTTTATTAACACGTGTGAACCCTTCACATGACTGCGATATATTTTTAAAAAGTGAATGCTTTCAAAATGTGTGATTATTTACGAGAAAAGAACATGACATCAGATGTGGCACACATGACATCAGATGTGGCACACATGACATCAGATGTGGCACACATGACATCAGATGTGGCACACATGACATCAGATGTGGCACACATGACATCAGATGTGGCACACATGACATCAGATGTGACACAGCTTTTTATTGCATGATGAGTGTAGCGTGACGTCAACGCACCAAGGTGGATTTTTTTTTCGGTCACGTGATATCTGCCGCGTGACGTATGCCCAAAAACGTCACAACCACGCTAATCGTAGTCCGTTTTTTTTCTTTTTTCATCTTCAAAATAATCAGCCACGAGCTCCCAAACTCTACGATGTGTGAAACAGGATGCTCTTCAAGTTGCTGCAGTTTTAATTAAGACGGTGACATTCACTGGTGATATTTCTTTTGGTCCAGGCAACCAGACACCAGCCAAAACCAAAAATGTCGCTCTGAGAAAAGCCCTCAGGGGACTTGTCTCATTATTATTGT